CGCTGGGAGCTGTCGTAGGCGGGGTGCTCCGCAGCCACGCCATGCCGAGCTGGAGGCTGCTGGCGCAGGCCAGCACCCACGTGCTGGGCCGCGGTGTCGGCGCCCGGGGCTCGGGGCTCAGGTGGGTGTGGGCGAGAGACGGGTGGCGGGGGTGCAGGACCCTCACTACCGCCGCGCCTCTTTGGGCAGCAGCGTGGCTAGAAGCCGAAGTTGGAGGAGAGAGAAGGGCTGTGGCCAGACTTAGGGCACCAAGGGATAAGTTCACCTTAAAGGTCAGAGTGTCCTGGAGTCGAACGGGTGTTCGTTGTGGTTGCTGAGTTTTTCCCCAGTGCTTATGAGCCAGTGCCTGCCAAAGAACTCCACCATCGACGATACTGTTGCCTTCTAATCAGCGTTTCCTACCAGCTAATCACTCTGATAAGTGCATGGGGAATCTTATCGTATTCGTGTGAGCAAATTCTCATAGCCTGTTTTACTAATTGTAACATCTTGTAAGTAAGCAAAGTGGAACGGAGGGGAAGTCACTTCCCCTAGGCCGTCAATTAAGGGACATTTTTTACTGTAACCTGGTTCTCCCTGACTAGAAAGGGAATAAGACTGCAGGAACTGGATTTCTCCTGAGATCTGAAGCACAAGAAGTCCTCCCAGGACTTTAGCCTCCTTCCCAGGCTAAACCCACCGAAAGCTTTCTGGGTGCCTTCAGCTGGTCACAATGGGGTGCTAAGAGATAGAGACGATGTCTCTTGTGGATGTTTTCACTTTGCACAACCACTTGCTTCACTGTGAGCCGAGGCCGTGTCATGTAGAAAGGAGGTTTTGCCATTTCCACTTGCAGAGGGGGTGGGTGAAGGGGTGGCATTAAAGCCCACTTCCTGGTGAGCTCATAACACCTGGCAGCTGTACAGGAGAAAGATGAGAGGAGAGATTTGCAGTCGGCTCTGTCCTCCCATAGGGTCACTGTTGACTTGATGGCAATGAGTTTGTTTGTCTTGTTTTTCTGATGAGTTAGAGGAGTGCTGGTGGCACAGTGCGTTAGGCCTGGGGTAGTTAGTCACAAGGTCAGTAGTTCGAGACTGCCAGCGGCTCTGCAGGAGAAAGATAAGGCGTTCTACTTCCTTAAAGGTTTACAGTATCAGGTACCCCCTGGGGCAGTTCTCCTCTCTCCTGTAGTGCTTTGTGTTAGAATCTGCTTCGTGGCACTGGATTTGATATGAGTTTGGTTCTGATGAGCTAGTGGTTTTTCATGTATATAGGTAGGACACTGTTAGGAATCTCTAACCAAAAGGCCAAGATGAAGAACTTTTCCCTCCAAACTCGAACTGCCATTGAGTTAGTTCTGATTCATAGGACAGTGAAATCTTCCCCTGGGGTGTCAGAGGCCTTAGAAAAGCCTCATCTTTTCCCCAGCAGTGGCTGATGGGCTTGAACTGCTGACCTTGTGATTAGTAGCCCAATACACCATCTCTCAACTCATTGCCATCCAGTCGATGATGATTCATAGAGAATCCACGGGAGAGAGTAGAACTGTGCCTGTGCGTTTTCAAGGCTGTCATCTCTATGGGAGTAGAAAGCCTTACCTTTCTTCCGCAGAGCAGCTGGTGTTTTCAACTGCTGACCTTGCAGTTAACAAACTAACACATGACCAATGCCACCTGAGCTCCAAGTTTCCCTCCGGGATGATCTTCACAGTGAAAATGAGAACAGCATTATTTCAAGGATTGTTGGGCGGGGGTAGACATGTATAGTATCCAAAGGCATTGGCTATACGTTGCAGCTCATGTGTCCTCTCTTCCTTGTGTGAAATAAGGGAAACCTAAATTGTATATTCTTGCATTGGCTTCTTATTTTTTACAGAACAAACGAATGGCTTTTCGTTAGAAGTCTCCAGAGCAAGAGTAGCACTTGGTGGAATGAACATCTTTCTGAAGAAAACCTCCCATTTATTAAGCAGTTGTTCTCCGAGGAGAACAAAGCCCAACTAGAAAGTAAACTGTGTCCTCTGAAAGATGAGCCATGGCCTATACATCCTTGGGCACCAGGTAGTCATTTTTCATTTGATGAGCTCTCATCTGGTAGTTGGTGTGTGGCTGGGCACATTCAAAATCACGTAACGACTGCTTAGTAAATATGTCCTCTGGAACGTGTCTCGCTTGTCTTAATGTATCTGTTTGACTCTGGTTTGGTGTGCACCTTTATTTCCATCCTCATACTCTACTCTAAGCGAATGCCTAATAACATAAAACTTTCCTCAAGAAGCCGTTTTATCGGTGAAAGAGGAGTCATTCTGCGTATAGTCTGTTTACTTCAGATTTTAAAAATGTAAAGTAAATCAAGAAAGAAAGCCTAGAATGTGCTCTGAACTACAGTTTCTTGAGCAGATGTTGTGGTTGGGCTGCTGTGGCACTATGGGTTTACTCAGCATAACTACAGAAGCAGCTGTGTGCCAATGAGTCGTCAGACCCACGTGCAGCTTGACGACAAAGAAAAAGACCTCTCCTGTGCAGCAGGTGGTCTCTGAATGGGCTTTACAGCAACAGCTGGATTGCCTAAATTAGGACTTAGTAGAACACCTTTACCAATTTATCCAGTAAATCTGAGTGTGGGGTAGAGGCTGGCATATCTGAGCAACATAACCACTGAAGGCATTCCTAGAGCTCCAGTTAATGTCTTAGAATGTGCATGGTAGAAGTTTACCAATGAATGAATTAGATCAGGGGTCCTCAAACTGCGGCCCGCCGAGGACATTTATCCGGCCCATCAGGTGTTTTAGCCCCGTTTTGTTTTTTACTTCAAAATAAGATATGTGCAGTGTGCATAGGAATTTGTTCATAGTTTTTTTTAAACTATAGTCCGGCCCTCCCAATGGGTCTGAGAGACAGTGAGCTGGCCACCTGTTTAAAAAGTTTGAGGACCCTTGAATTAGCTATTAATCGATGCCAGGAAAGCCTAGTGATGCATTTGTTATGTAACTGAAATACAATGGTCTGTTTCCTTTTTTGTGTACAGTTCTCTTGTGATTGTTTTTACCATTATTGTTCATTTTACCAGTATTGATTAAACAGTATATTGCATGAGGCATGTTTGAGGCACATATCTCTAAAGAACAGTTGTGTTTGTCTCCTTGAAAACATGAATCTATCATCATGTTTCTTATGTGTCTGCTGTCTGTATAGAAACCGTGGCAGGAAGCCTTGTGTCGTGTTGGGAGATGTTGAAGAAGCCTGGTTCACGTGCGTTTGTCTTTGCCTGTCAGGTTCTTCTAGGGTCGGCCTCGTTGCACTGAAGCTGGGCATGATGCCTTTATGGACCAAAGACGGTCAGCAGCATGTGGTCACATTACTGCAGGTAAGAAAGAACGGGGAGAGACGTGTGTTATCGTATGGCGATGGAAAGAGTAATGTCAAGCATAAATATAAAATCACTTTACTTGACAATTTCATTGAGTTCTCTTAACGCTGATCTTAGTGGCACCCTTGTTTTTTAAAAAAAAAAAAGTTTTAGTATCATATAATTCACATACTATACAATTTTTGTCATTGTCTTTTTGTTTTGTTTTCTTTTGCTCTGTAGTGTTTTTGTGCATATTATTATCTCTGCAGGTCTATCTAGATAAGATAGGCTGGATAAACAATCTGGAGGAGAAAACAACGGACCGGTTCTGAGGAGACATGGGAGAGGGGGAGGTGGGGGAAAGGAAGTGGTGTTAACAAACCCAGG